CTTGAGATATCAAAGAGATTGTCCGATGATTTCCGCATTCCGTTGGGTCACCTCTCTTTGGAATGGGCACAAACATTGATCTCTTCCGATCAGTCGGCCAGACAGTTGTCTTCCAAATTTCTTGGCAGAGATTATATATATAACTCCCACCAAATGACTTTCCTGATGGGCCTGTGTAAGAGAAAATGGGGAGAAATGCTGATAGGATTATATGGTTCAATTGTGAGTAACTATTAACAGGGTTGTTATTGTAAAAACTAGAAAATCTAAAAAGGGGCTTGGCCAGTTTTGGCATCCTGCTGAGTACAAAATGATCCACCTTGGTGATTTCAATGGGTTGTTTTCTCCTGTGTTTGACTAATTAATCTCACCTCCATCTGACCTTCTATTCTTGGGACTTGAGCCAGTTCTCTGACCTGGTTTGTAGCTTCCATAGCCATGTGAGTCAACAGCCCAGTTCTGCATGAGTGAGCAGTATCCTCCATACGAAGTCAGAACTGCAGGTTTGCCAGTCTCCACGGAACCATTCCCTTGACAACCTGTGAGTTCTCTGAGATGTTGTAGTGAATTCTCACTGTCCTCAATTTAAAGGAGTATTCTAGTTGTACTTCTTCCAAGAAATTTGTTTATTTTTCTGGCAGTCCGTGGTGCTTTGGTTATTGTTTGCCACATGCATAATTCAACTGCATTAATTCTCCTGTCTTACTCATTGTCCAGCTTTACCATACATATGTTGTTGTTAAGTGCCATGGAGACGGTTCCAACACATAGCGACCCTGTATATGGTTTCTGAGGAGCGGCTGGTGAGCTTGAACCACCGACCTGTGGTTCAAACCAACCTTGCAGTCCAGTGCATTAACCTGCAGCACCACACTAGGACTCCCACATGCATATAAGGAAATTGAAAATACCAGTACTTGCTTGGGTCAGGCACATGTTCATCCACATGTTCCATTAATCCATTGGATTAATTGATTCCAAGCCTCTTCAATTTTCTCACTCTTCTTTGTTCCACACATGGAGAAACCAATAGTTGCACCTTAGATTGATTCTCATGAGCATTTAAGATCCCAGATGCTACTCACCAAAGGGAAACTATCTTTCAATTGATTGGCTACTCACAGCAGATCTCATGGACTTGATAACTATATTAAATCACATCATAGGACGTTACTACATTTTAACTGCCAAATCACTTGAGAACCTTGGCCCAGTCAAGTTGAAATAAAATCCTATCAACTGCAGTGGTCACACAACTCAAGACAGTACTCAGTTTCATAATTTATATGGGAAGTTAACATTATAATCCAGGGTCAGAAATATTCAGGGCAAAGTTCTAGTCTTGGCCGTCTCTCCTCTGTCTCATGCTCTGGCTCATGGTCCTGCTGCTGCTCTTCTATCAGTCCTCCACTGTGAACAGCCTTCTGTCCCCAGGTCAAAGAGATTTAATGTGCAGTGGTCTGTGGGTCCAAAGGGTGCACTTCATTCCTGGTTCTGCTTCTGAGATGACTTATACCCATGTTCTTTCAACATTGCAACCTAAGGCTTGAGAATTTTTCTAAAGAAATGCTGGTGGTTTGGGTTTTGTAACTCCAGATCTTTATACATTTTATTATTATACTTTCTCTTCTCAAGCTGTTCTTTGAAATTTTCTGCTCTTTCCCTTCATCATTTATACCATTTGTTTTAGCTACTCTTGTGTTCAAGAATAAGTCTCAGAGTCTGTTGACATTCTCTTTCTTGTCTTTTAAATGACCTTTTTGCTTTCTTTATATGTGGTGTTCTTGGTGCCATCCCACAGCTCGCATGGTCGCCAGTCATTAGTGTCTAATATATCAAATCTGCTCTTGAGATGGTCTCTAAATTCATGTGGGATATACTCACGGTTGTGTTTTATCTCTTATGGACTTGATCAAATTTTTTCAGCTTCAGCCTGAACTTTTATAACAGCAATTAATCTTGTTTTGGCTGGTGATAGATACAGAGCTTCTCCATCATCTTCACACATGTAGTCAATGATTCCCTTGTATTTCATCTGATGAGGTCCACATGGATAGTCACAGTTAATGTTGAAAAAAAGGTATTTGCCATGAAGTCGTTGGTGTTGCAGAATTCCCTCCTGTGATCTCATGTTATTTCAATGACCAAAACCTTATTTTCCAACTAATCCTCTGTTTCCAACTTTCACATTCCAAAGGCCAGTAATTTGATCAATTTTAGACAAAAGTTGGTAAAATAACTTCAGTTTAATCACGTGTTAATGGTTTGTGTATGAATTTGAATAATAGTGGTATTGACAGAACAAAATATTGAATGATGCAGAAAGTAACAAAAGAAGATGAAGGAATATACAGTATCACTACCAGAAAGAAAAGGTCATTGATTAACCATTTCAAGAGGTAGCATATGATCAAGAACCAATGATACTGAAGGAAAAGTCCAAGGTGCATTGAAGGCGTTGGCAAAAGATCTAGGCTCCAGGAATTGATTGGATAAAAATTGAGATCTTTCAACCAACATGCAGCACTGGAGGCACTCATGTACACCAAAAAGTTTGAAGAATGCCAACATATTGGAAGAGATTCATATTTGTGCCCATTCCAAAGAGTGGCAACCCAACTAAATGTGGAAATTATTGG